GGAGAGCACTACAACTTTCAAGAAGCATTTGCCATAACATGCAGTTTCCTTGTTTTTCATAGGTTCTGCAGTAACTAAAAGAGTAAAAGGGATCAGACCTTCAATACACATTGCTAGCCCAGCACCTTAAATTTAGGTACTTAAAATATGTTGTTGCCACTATTTTTTCAGTAAGCAATTGCCAGTTGTCACAGTGGCTACTGGATCATGCTGGGGCTATTTACAGCTCTGATGTGGACAGAAGGAGTGGGGCTCTGGCTTTTGGGAAAGGTGAGAATAGGTGGGAACCACAAAGTTGCAGCCCTGCAACTGCTGGAGCATCATGTGGTGCCTGGTCATAAAAACAAGGCATCTGCAGCCTCATCTCCCGGGTAAATCCCTGTCTCCACATTTCTACCCTCTGATTCACCTCATCTCCACAATTTACAGACCTCCAACACCTAAATTTCCCATTTCGTTTGGATGAAAGCAGGAACATAAATTTGCTGCTGAGGTCCCATTCCACCCATAGTATTAACTGCCTTCTTTCTGTGGGCTGCGTTTCTGAAACCCAGTGGTTCTGACACAGTTTTATGGTTTTGGCGTCTGGGAATGGCCTTGCACATTCTCAGAGCACAAAATACTCTGAGAACTGTTGTTAGAGCAGGAGGTATGATTTTTGGAATCAGTACCCTTAAGCCTCACAGCAACTTGTTCTCAGGACATTTTTTTTTTGATGTGTTTTTTTCCTTCTTTTTTTGTTTTCTTTTCCTTTCCCCTTAAATTTACCCTTTTAATAAACTTGAGTCTGCTTTAAATTTATCGTAAAGTCTCTGGATTAAGTTTAATGTTGTTGTAGGATTTGATTTAGGCTTAGGAGTATTTCTCTTGGTTTTGCTTTCTGTTTCTTTGGATTCCCCATTTGATTTTATTGTGCAGCTAAATGTTTTTAATGTTTTGCTATTTATTTAGCAAGGTATCTCCTAGTCAGAAAGCTAATTTAACCGGAAATACTGCAGATAGGGGGGAAGTAAAGTGAAAAGAAGAAGGAAAGGAAAGGCAGTCACTTTAAAAAAAAATTAATACCACAATGAGTCTGGCTCACCCTGTGTCAGTTTCCCTTGCTACAGGGCATATTTAGCTCCCTCCCCAATATTCAATTCTTAATCTTGTCGTCTGCAACAGCTTGCAGAAATTAACTGATTAAAAAATGAAATAAAAAGTTGCGTGCCAACCATCCACCCACTTAGGGTACTGTCTGACTACAAATCAAAGAACAATAATAAACTTGGCAGCTTTCTTCCCTTGTTCAAGTGCCAACGAGAGGGCTACTACAAAGCAGATTTTTTATTTCATATATTTTATTTGTAATTAGTCACCACTGAAACTTTTTTTAAGAATTAGCATAATGATACGATCCCTCCCTCCTCCCACTTTGTTCCTATGTGTTTACTAAAGACCTGACAGAAAAACATTACTAATACGTGCACTTCCCGTTCAACTCATGTCCTTCTGGGCTTTGCAGCTTCCCACTGGGTGGCTTCCCACTGAACTAGCGGCCTTATAGTTATTCCAAACCTGTAAATAACACGGTTTGGCCAAAACTGTTAGACCTGCTTCTGGAGAAAGAATCAGGTAACGACAAGCTCGGGCATTGTGCAGAGGCGCTGTGGCAGCAATGTGTTTAATTTCAATTTGTTTATTGATGTATTTACCTGAAATCAAATTATCTGATCTATTTATCCATATATCTCCTTACCTGTTATGCCCTGTGCAGCCTCTTGGACCCTGTGTGGAGCCTCGAGAGAACGTCTCAGTGCCTGGTGTTTTCCCAACCCAGTACTGGTTATGGAGTAGGATCCCCTGGACTCTCCCCGTTCTGTGGTGCATTCACACAGAAGCTGGTGTACATTAACAGTACATACCACGGACAAGATGGAAAAACATGGGACAGAGATTTTTCAAAGAAAAAGGCTCTTAAAGTAGCTGTATTTTTGTGTCCATAAGAGGACAGAGTTAGGTGTGAACAAGCTGAGCTAAATTCCTTTCTGGTGTAACCCGTTCAAGTCAGGTCTCAGTTACTGCAAGGGCAGCTCTGTCCTATTATACAGTTCCTTTTTTTTCTCTTCTGTGGAGAACAATAATACAGGTGAGTGAAATCTGAAGAGCTCTGAAGTTATGAAGTATTGGTTGTGTCTGATTATCCCTCACTCTTTTGTTTTCTTTATAATCTGCTTTTTTTTCTTTTTCTTTCTTTTTTCTCTTTTTTCCCTCAGGGGTTATTTTCCCCCAGAACTCTTCTTACAAAATTATTATCCAGATTTCTTCAGAGAGATTATTCTCTCTGTCAAAAAAACTCTGTTTCAGAGATTTTTTTTTAAATAACTGTACTAAAAGATACAGCCATTGTGCAGTTTTTGTAGAGATGTGTTTTCTTTAATCAGTGCTTTTACATTCATTGGAAATAAAAAATCTGTTTACTACGCTGGGGGAATTAAGCTCTGAAGAGATTGTTTTAGTTCTCTTTGTTTATGATGATTTGTTAGCTCTTGACTGCAGAAATAATTTTGTTGTTTACATTAATCTATGGTGGCAGTATTAACTTCACATCATACATAAATATAATTATTGATCATTACCAGCTGTAATTCAGTGTTAGAATTACAGATTTACATAATTGTGCTATTAAGTGTAAACTTGAACTTCATATCTGGGGTCACAAATAACTGGAGGCAGTAGAAACAGAAAATTCTGATTATATGTCATTCATATTTTAATACATGCTGCTGCAATTTTGATCAGTGTTAATGTAAATATTTTTATGTACTATACAGCAATGAGATGCTAATGGCTAGAAATTACAGCAATATTGATCTAGCTAATAAAATGGCATGCATTAGTAGGAGAGGATATTTATTATCTGCCTCAAAAATTACTATCCATCATCTGCCCAAGGAAAATTTCCGCCATCAAAGTTGGAGAAGGCTTTTATGCTGGAAATAGTGCAAGATTCCTCTCAAGTCAAAATTAAACACAGTTCCAGGCTATGTTGTTTTGGTGCCTGCAGCTTTCCCACTGCTACAGGTTCGCAGAGAAGAAGCCGCGTAAAGGAACTCCCTTCCTGTAATATGTTCTGGGCCCCCCTCGCATAATCTGCACATAAAAAGGTATTCCAGGATGATCAGCCAGCACTATGAGCCTTGGCTAAAAACTATTTTAAAAACATTAGGGGGATGTATATTTACATCTGGGCGTGTAGTTGCCTACTTGTGGCCTGCAAGGAAGCCCACGAGCTCGGTTGAGCTCTTGAACAGAGAGCTATGAAAGGCCTTGCAGGATGTGCAGGCTCTTCAGCTGCTTCCCCAAGGTACGAGGCCATATAAAAGCCCATACAAAACCCAGCTGGACTGCCAAGCACTTTGAGAAGAGTTTAATCTCACCAGGGAGGAGAGGTGGCATAAAACAATTATTTGTGTACAGTCGGAGCAGGTTTGATTGAACGTCTCCGAGATCTCCACAGCTTCCTAGGATTCATTCTTTGGGAACCAAACCCCATACAACCCAGTAAGCACCCCAGGCCATGGCTGCATGCTGGGTCCTCCAAAGGAAGTGGTTGATGTGCCACCATTTGCAGCTAAATAGGATAAGAGACCCTATTATATATAAAAACAAGCCAAGTTGAACACTCCTTGCTGGCAAAGAAGAGTGGACCAAATCCATTGAAATGAGTGAGTTTCCCATCTGGCAGTAACACAAACTTGTACTCACACAAGCAGATTTTCACCCAAAACACTATAAAACAGTAAAGACTTTTCAGTGCAAATAACACACTAAGCACATGGTAACTTCCTTCAGAAAGTGAGGGTGATAAAATGTTGATCCATTCCTTCCACAATACTGCATTTTTTATTTAAAATATTTAAAGAAATACTAAAACCTGGAATATAAGCTTACATATATATATATAATATATATATATATATATATATATTTCCCCTCTATAGTTGTCTACTCCAACCCATCTGCTTCTTAAATCCTATTTATCCTGGATGGTGCATCAAGAAAATGTTTAAGAGGTGATGATCCTTCACTAAGACAGTTCAAATGATAATCAGGCCCCTGTTTCTTGTTTGTCTAAACAGGACAGTTTAAGAAAACAGGACAGTTTAAGATACACATAGGTTAGGATTTCCTTGGTTTTACAACGAGGCTCTGTGGTGGAGCTGCAAATGCCTGAGACTTAACAAGAAAACTTGGTTCTGTTTTTGAGAGAGACAGGGAAGATCTTTACATGCTAAGTTTTAGTCATTGATGGCCTGTAGGAAAAAACACAAACAGCCATCTGAATAGACTGATGAAGGAGCCCTGCTACCATTAGGAATTATCACTGCCTGATGCTCAAGCATCACTTCTGTAAGTGTTGGATGCATTGATTTGTGACTAATTTCAGTATCAATATGACTATTAAAGACTCCTTTCTATTAAGTATAAAGTATGTTATGACTTTGCAGATCTTCAGGCAAAGATCAGAGTTAGCAATTAGTTAGCTTGCCATCTTTTCTCAGTTTCATCCAGTAGAAAAATTGTTAGTCTATGTATATCCTTATTTTCTGATCCATAGAGATCTATAAGGGAGGTTAGGTTTTCTGTCCTTAATTTATATTCATATGTAATAGCAATAATAATTAAGTAAAGCCCTTAATTACTCTGAATCTTCTTCAGGTATAATAGAAACCACCCCATACACTTTTACATTGAGTGAAATAAGTGTGTTAACAAATTCACTCCGTCTTCTGAAGGCATCTTTTAGTTCTAGTATTCCAAAGTTAGGCTGCAGGATGGAGTAATGAATCTGCAGTCATCAGACACTGAGTTGTACCATTCTTCAGTAGAGATTTTATACAGTATATATAATTAAGAAATGAGTATATCTATTTCTTTCCAAGCTTGTTTTATAGTTTATTCATGCTTTTAGATAAAGTACCAGTTTGAAAGAACTGAGGCTGAGGTCTGTACAGGCTGAAAAGAAGCTGACAGATGTGTCCTGCCTGGAAGACATCAAAGAAAAAGAAATAGCAAAAAGGTGAGTCTCCAATACTTGATGATGATCCACACTCTAATTCAGATTTTTTTTTTTTTTTTTTTTTTTTTTTTTTTTTTTGTTCCAGTTTAAAAATCTCTGTTAATCACACAGTGTAATTTTGCTCTGGAAGATAGATTTTACTGAATGGTCCTCTCAAAAAATTTAATTTTTCTCTCTGCTGTTTATACATCATTGTAGATATGTGCAATGCTTCACAAGATCAGCAAATTATCTGGCTAGAAAGGCAGCAGTCATCAACACAGTTCAAAGACAGACGATACTTTTTGGCTTAGACTTTCCTACGTTCCTCCACCATCTCACCTAAGACAAACTTAGGCTGTTTTTGTTTTATTCTAGAAACTGGACCATGAAGAAATTATTATTTTTAAAATATTGTAAAAAGTAATGTTCCACAATGCACAGGAAGACTCTCATCATTATCTTAAGAAGAGCAGCACCGTATCTCTTTACACCAGCTTCCATATACGTTCGTAGCAGCTAACGGCAACGTAACATCTGCATTTATGGTTTTGCAAAGAGAAGCCATCTTAGAATTAGGTAAGTAACATTAAATAACATGAAAACTAAGTATCCTAAGTATGGGCAGCACTGGTATTTGTATGATATATTTATAGATCATGTGTGTAGATGATTGTGGTGAAAACAAAGCTAGCAAATTGAGGTTAATGCACCCTCTTCCTGAATTGCTGAGAAGCTCTTTCTTGACACAATATGTGATTCAGGCACAGTTGCATAGGATTGTTTGCAGTTATGGAGGAGTCAATGGAAACAGAACAAGACTGATGTTTCCTTTTTGGCATGCTATGAAATATCTATAAATTCACAAATCTAATATTTTATGTACATATATTTAATATTGTCTTCAAAAGTCAGATCAGTTCATAGTTCTGTTTTTTAAAATGATAACTTTTCAGCAGCTAATTCAATATTTTGCATCGAGTATAATTTATGTGTAATTCAATTTTGAGTGTAAGATGTATTAAATGCCATGTGTTACATGCTGTTTTCCTCTATGTATATCTTAGTCCCTAGCTTCTACACTGATTGCAGTATCTAAGCTTCTTAGTATAAAAAGCTTATTCTTCACCCCTTTCCTGTTTGCAGTCTGTTACACTTAAAAATAATAACTTTATATTTTATTGAACATGGAACCACAGAAAATACAAAAGGAACGTTGTATTTAAATGATTATTTCATGTAATAATCTTTTCAAGATGTTCCCACTCTGTTCATAAGAATGGTGTAACTTAGTGCATTCCCTTCTTCATGGGCTTACGTACTCTAGCTTTGCACATATGTCAAGCAGTTATCTGTAGTTACATTCAAGGGCATGTTTTCTTCCAACAAACAAGTGACCCAGAGCTCCAAAAACCATCTTGTTTCCTCTCCATGGCTAACCTACAAGAAACAGCACTACTGCATCCTCTTCATTATATTGCCTTCCTCTGTAGCCCTCTTTTTCAATGTTTTGTGGAGAAAATTCCTCTGGTCTCAGTCTTATGAATTTATCTAGGGAAGATAATATATTTAAATGAACAGGAAAGGAGTATCTAAATGAGAAATAGCCAGGGATACAAATACCACCCTAGGAACTCTAGTTAACATTAGATATGAAAGATAGGATCTGTAACAGCTTTTTTTTTTTTTTTTTTTCCTTTTTTTTTTCTCTCTCTCTCTCCAAAACTGAAAGAGAGCAACAACCCTGAGCTAAAATTTCTCTGCAGTGTCTTTTTGGCCATTGCTGATTAACAGGCTCCTTGTGTTTCTCTCATAGTAAGATGTCTCAGAATCTAGCAGCATTTCAGAAATATTCCTTCCACAAAGTGCGATATGCCTCTGTATTACTCATTTAAACTGAGAGTTTTCTCATGAAAGACAGTTTCAGAATCTTTTTTACCCTAGATTGATTATGCTTCCACCTGAGACCTCCTAATTAATTTCTAAAAACTGTAAATATCTTGTATGACTCTCCAAAAATATCCATTTATAAAAGAATGTAAACATCTTCCATATTTTGTATGAAATACCTCAATATTAATGCTTGTTATTTTCCTGCTACTTGAAGCTATAATCTTAAGACTTGTTCTTGATATTAATTCTAACATGAAGTCAGTGCTCCGCAGTGACTGTTCGCACTCCGTAACAACAAAGTTTCTCTCCCGATTGGAACAATGCATTTCAAGCCTACCCTTTGCTGGAGATTTAGATGTGTGAGTCAGTTCTCACAAGATTTAAAGACGTGAAATTCAACACAATAGCTCCAAGAGCAAGGTGAAAGGTCACACCAAACTTAAACTGTAGAGAACAGAGTTAAACTGGAGACATAGGTACGTAGAAATGAAGTAAATAGAAATTTATGTGAGGAGAAAAATGAAGAAAAATAGTAAATCTAGAATATACATATAGGACTGTGCATACAGTTAAGCTTTTAAATCCAAAAACTGATTAAAGCATAACTAATTGCTTCGTATGTATTAGTCCTGGCACTCTGCATCCAGCTGCATACTTACTACTGTGATACTAGAGAAAAAAAAAAGCCTGCTTGTTCTTTTATTCTCCCCACACCACTTTTTTTTTCTATAAAAAATCATATAAACCAGCTAAAGTTGAAGATAATCTTTTCAGATTTAAGCTGAATTAGTATTTTTGCATGCATACTAAGGATTTTTTTCATATTAAATGATACATTTGGAAAAAGTAAATGGGTTTGGCTAAAGCAAAACAGCCCAATAGCTGAAAGTGAAATTTTGCAGTATAGAAAACATTTCCCTCTTTGTTCTGTGTCATCATAGTTTTTGTTTTTATTATCTTTCATTGACTTAGGGAGAAATATTAAAAATTCTCTTTGAAAATACTATGTTTATATTTTCAGCACTAATACGAAGCACTAGGAAGTCTACATTGTTTTTGAATATTTCTTCACCCATCCAAAATAAGGGATTTTCTTATCAAAATTTTAAAGTATAGTGTTTGTATTTCTTTTTCATTATTGAGAAGTTTTCCCTTTTTCTTTTTCTTCAGGTTATTCTACTGTTTTCAAATTGGTAATGCCACCTATGTAGCAGAAATAATGTGAGAAGTTATACTTCGATGCTTGAAAAAATCCTTTATTTCTTCAAATGAATTAGAAATGCTGATTAATTATCTGCTTTGGGTTAGGTGGGTACAGAAAGTATCTCATCATTTGGATCATAGTGCAGCTTACACCTTGCAAATATGTCCTTAACATCAGCCACAGCTACATTTAACTATAGTCTGCGAAGAAATTAGTGCCAAGCATGGCTATGTGGGTCTTCCACAGGAATTTGAGTGGGTAATTTTATCAGCTGGTGTAGCTTGAGAAATGCAAAAGCTCAGGAATGTGAACTGTCACGAAAATCTAGGAGTACCTGGTGGCTAATGTGGAATGTGGCAAGTTGCAGGTATGGCACGTCTGAAATGATAATGTGGCTTTCTCATAGAGCTGCAGGGCTCTGAGCTGTTAGAGACTCCCTTTGACTTACATGGACAACGCAGCACATAATTTGGACCTTACACAAGTAAATTAAAACCACATTGCTTTTGTTTTCCACAGCCTCTTTTGTTTTCTTCTCATTAGTTTTGCCTCCGTTTTCGATCTGATGGAGATGGCTTTAATCACAGAAGGCCAGATTCTCAGCTGCAGCAAATTTGTGCTCAGCACAGCTGAAGTTAATGAGTTTAGAAAAGTGGCTTTAATTTCTTTTAGTTCCTTTATTCCAAGCGAGATTGTGGTGCTAACAGTGAAATCAGCATCGGGGCTCTGGAGCCACAGAGATGCCACAGAACCCATTCCCACTCCCTTTCTCTTGGCACACCCTGGGGAAAGGCTAATCTGCTGAGAGTCAGGCTTTTTGAGCATGACCCATAGGAAATGCAGCAAATTCTCAACCAACCTGATATCTGAAATAAAACTGTGCAGTTACTCCACTCGGGCAGCAGGAAGTCTTCACTCGATTTCTACGTATTTGTGCATCCCACCAGCAGGACTTTTGATTGTCCCATTGAAGTCCTTGTAAGCCTAAAATGTTATTGCCAACACAAAGGTCCAAGTGCGAGGTTACAGATTAAAAGCATGATGGGGCTGCAGGCAAATATTTTATACTGAATAGCATTGTGTGGAGGTACTTCAGCTAAAATGTTAATATGTGCAAGCTGCAAACTACTGGACCAAATTAACCTGCCCACCTGCTTGCACAGAATCAGCTTTCTTGCAAAGGAGTTTTTTTTAAAAAAAGAACTACACCTTTTGCAAAAACATATTTTCTTCACTCTTAAAAAGAAAAAAAAAAAAAGCCCAAACTGATGTGTGTTTAATAAAAAAATAATTTAAAACCAAATGAAAAAAAGCACTTACAAACTTATGAATGCAAAACTTTTTTATCTTTGATTTTTGTGTGTGTGTGTAAAGAAAGTCCTGTCAGTTTTAATGAGAGAAGTAAAAGCACAACGTGTCCCCTCTCCAAAGCAGAGAGATCGCTACTTCACAAATGTTTTTGTGGGAGCTTTCTAATCATGTTTTTGGTGCAGCTCCGCGACTATTTTCCTTTAGAATATATGAAAACGTCAAATGCCTACAGAAATACACACCCAAATACTCCATTTGGGATGCTTTTCAACCTCTGCTTGCCCTTTGAATAGCGCAGCTACCATGCATTCATGAGAGTTTCCAATATTGTCTTTTGTGAGGCTGCACAGCACGACATCCCTCCTCCCTCGCCACAGAGGCCGGCGGTTCATTCCTGCGGGACTGCTCGCTCCTGCTCCGCGCCCTCCTCTCCCTCGCTGCCTCTTTCCATGTATGTGTTTTGCTGTGCTGCTGCTGCTCTTCCTCTCCCTCTCGTTCTTGGTCTCCCTCGCTGTGCCGCGAACTTCTCTATTTACAGCTCAGATGATTTCAGGTTTGCTAGCAGAAGTACAGATAGGCTAGAGAGAAGCAGTAATGGTTTGAGTGCTATGCATTGATTTTACAGGAGACACTTCCAGGAAGTCAAAACTCACTAATTTATCTGTAATCTTTTTTTTTATTATTATTTTCTTAGGTGTTTTACCCTACTGTTTAGTTCCATTTTTCCCAGGCAAGGAGTCAGTTTTAGAAAAAGACTTTTAAGGACAAACTTGAGATTCTAGCTTTGAGGCTTTCACTGGGACATTTTTTGCAGCTGTATAATGCGGTGCAGTATTTTGAACGCCAGCACAATGGGAAAAAAAAAAGTTCACAGAGAAAGAAAAATATCTGGGCATAAAAATGTTATGATAGAAAACAAACACAAAAATAAAGCAGTAGATAGTGGAACTGTGTAATAATTTATTATAGTAAAAAAAGTCACTGGAGCTGATTTGTTTTTCTCTCTTTTTCTCTGAAGGCACCTATTTGGGTATTCTTAGGACCTCCCCC